CAGCTTGATAAGCATTAAATCTGCTTTGGCAGAGGACGCAACACATTCCGGCGAATACAGCATTTCACAGGGGACCTCCATGTTGAAACAAAAGAAGCAGATTCAGTCTGTGAACGTGATGCAAAGGTAAAGAGCGGCGCAGCTATCGAGCGGAGGCTTTAAGAGGAAGAGTATGAGGTGGGAATCAACACAGCTCGGGTCCTGGGTCATCATCACAGACCCATAATGGCGGCTAGCTGGTCAAAGTCTCTTCCGCAACATCTGACTTTTCTCAGGCGCTCTGTCCCTTCCCACTCTTGCATCGTAAAAATGGCCAACTTTTGTCAAAGTGCAAATAAATATTGCAGCGCACTGTGTCTCCCTTGTTTCATAGTGCATTTACCCATGATTCACTATCCTCTCTTTACCCTACATTCTCATAGGTTAGGAGCACTTTGTTTTTGTGCAAAGGTCTGTGTAAGGCATAAGTGTGTTTGCTTATATTGTGTGTGTGTGTGTGTCTGTGTGTGTGTGAAAGAGAGTGAGACAGGCTGGTGCAGAATAGAAGATATGATGTAGGAGGTTTGCTAAAAGACAACTGAACAGAAATTAAATTACAGCATGTGCTCTGAATTTGTATGAGATCAGTAAAAAGAGAGTGTTGGCATCTGATTCATAATTTCTGCAGTGGTTTGAAAAGCTGAACTACAGTTTTCAAAAATGTGTTACATAGCATACACCAAAACCGCTTAATAGTTTGTGAAGAGATGAATTATCATCTGCGCTGCAACAAATGTCATTTTCTTACACACATTTATCGAAACACAATGAGTTCCCTGACAAGTGGAATTTCTAACTAAACATTTCTTACACATTGACAAGTAAGCAAGGAAGGAGGGGGGGGAGGGGGGGGGCATTAAACAGCAGAAACAGAACGTACTGCTCCTCTTCTTGTACTGACACTGAAGTTTGGTGCAACAAATCAAATTCTGAAATGTACAAATTGCAGCCATTTTGAAAGTATTTTCAAAACATCAGCTGATCTTGTTTGCCCATAATTGAATTATGATGTTGTTTGACAACAGTTTTCTGCCAAAGTGACATGAGCTCAAATATAAACGGTCTCCTGAACGACAGTGAACCTGAGAAGCGTTATCATCGATCCTTGAAGAGGATCACTGACGGTTAAAGAGGAATTGTGTATATTTGTGGCTTCATATGAAAAAATCATTCGACATTCTGGGCGTTCGTCTGCAACAGGGCGTTCGTCTGCAACAGGATTCAAAACATTTTACATCCTTGAGCTGAACACGTGGTTCAAGATACAGTATAGACAAACTTGAAAAGGTCGCTGTGTCAGCCTTTTTCTCACCTCTTGTATTTTCAAAACGATTGTTGGGATGAGTGTGAGACAAGCAACGACCGCACGGAAGAGCCGGGTCCTCAGATCAAATGTCAAAGAATGATGTCAGATATACTCATTTCAGACACTCTCTCATCGCTGACGAAAAGAGAGTAGACAATAAAAAAAGTGTCTATTTCTTTTAATTATTTGCAAAGAACATAACTAATTACACAGAGGACTAGATCAGAGTGTTTACGGTGGCCCTACCAAACAGATAAACGTGCTGCGAATACTCACAACACAACTAAAAACAGAAATGCAAAGACAACACAAGTGTTTCCAGGCAAAAACGTGATGAACCCAGCTGGGCCACAAAGCTTTTGAAGCTTTTGAAGTCACCTACTCCTCAGTGGTGTTAGAAAATGAGAGTAACCGAGAAAGGTTCACCTGTATTTATGTTTTCTCTCAACTTTCAACTCTTTTGTTCTCATCTTAATCAACGTCGACTGAGCTTCAGAGCTCTGATGCGTGATGTTACGCACAACATATGCAAATCGCTCCATCTTGCTCGACACTCAAAAACAACCTTGCAGTAATTATGCATCGCTCTGGATTGAATGCACTGACAGGAACTGCCTCTGTGGGTGTAAGAAATGCAACATCCATTTTGGTGTTATCGTTCACGTCACCTCCTTCAAAGGAAATGTATTGATTTGCTGAGTTCACTTTCCTTCTGATCAGATACTGTACATCTCTTCTTTTTGTCCTTAAAAAAAGAAGAATGGATATAAAACCCTCGATCTGATGAGAGTATATTAGGTATTGGATGGAGTCTTTGGAGATCACAGGATGGGATCCACCTCAAGACATTTGGACTTGGAGCACATCTGAGCAAATCAGATCCAACTGACAAAAATCAGAAAGATGTACAGTACAATCCAACTCCGATAAATCACACACACAAACACACACACACTTCTGATCAAGGCCCGAAGGCTGTCAAGTTGTAATCACCTATGGGAGTGTTCTACATTAACGCCCACCGTGCCTGCGCATTAATTTGAAACACCACTGCCACTACAAAGACCTGTTCTACACAACAGGTCTGGCACAGCATTTTGGACCAAATCTTGACACTAATAAATAAAGTAAAATCCAATTAATATTTAAAGCTAATCATAGCGACAGAGCTGGAGAACACACAAAGACAGATTGGAGCCCGCGGGGGGAAGAGGGAGCTTTCTGACTGCAGCTCCCCGTAGACTGAGGTCTCTACTTTCCTCAGATTTAAATTCAAACACTCTTGTTATAAAGAATGTTCTCATAATCCCAAATGGAATCATTCATAATTAAGCTAGTGAGCTCTTGACAAAAGCCACACAATCATTTAGTGAATACATGACAGAGGGAAAAAATAGTGAGTATGGCATCATTATGTCCTGAGGTGTCTAATGATTTCCTCACACATACATGAAGTGTTCATGGCTACAGGAGCCATTTGAAAATGTCAATGATCCAGCTATGAGGAAAGCCAGCTCAGAAAATTCTGAATGACTGCACAAGGTTATTGCCTTTTCATTATCGTGCTTGCGTCCGAAAACAGTGTTTATAGGAGCTGTAAGATAATAGACGTGTGTTTGGGGCGTGTGTGATCACTGCTCTCCGCCTTTGTATAGGTGGCTGGGGGAGGGGCAGCATTCACATTTCCCACCCGAGGATGAGCAACGGTGACTGCGAGGAAGGAGGCGGGAGAGGGTGGGGGTTGTGGAGGGTGTGCGTCTCCGTCCATGCCGCGCCATGGCTCGTTCGCATGGAGAGGGCGAGCGTATAGTGGCCGTTCACGGGCCTGTTTCGAGACACGGAGGGGCAGATGCTTGTCCGCGGTGTCAGGGCCTCTTCTGCTTCCTCTCTCTGACAGCACCACCAACTGCCTCCTCTTACGTAACCCCCCCCCCCCTCTACAGGCCCGCCGCCTGCCTTTATTGGCTTATTTCTCTCTTTTTCAACCTTAGCATTTTCACCCCACTGACTGCTGCCCCCCATCACCAATCATCCACTGCTCATCCCATCACTGGATCTTTTACTTATCCTACACCCTGAATCCCAGGATGGATATTTGACTCTAAAGAGTTTTTTATGAGGCACAGGTTCGCATGATACAGCAAAGGAGCAAGTATATAGTATACAGGATACTACAGTGTGGTTGAACCAATAATGGTGATGTGTCGACAACATGAGATCCTTACACGCATCACGGTGCAATCGGAGAATGTATTCCATGAAGCAGAGGCTAAATATAATATGAATATCAGAACAATGAGGTTTCAATACTGATGAGGAATAAAATGTCCATGTAAGCAATAACTGCTTACATAACCACATCTGCTATGAGCCTTCAAAAGTGTGCAACATGAAATAAGCTGGACTGGTCTGAATCCAGCTGACTAGAAAATGGCTTGCGACAGATTTTAACACCAATCAAGACGGTGACTTTCTCTTTTTGCCTCTCCCAAAGTAAAACCATTCCTTGTCTGTAGTGATCTGCTAATATCAGCTAGATTGCGGCTCATATGTGGGCTCAGCTCAGGGGGATCTCTTCCTCTCTGCCACTGAAATCTCAGCCTCCATTTTACCCCTGTGCCTCTCCTCACCTTCCTCCTTCCTGCTGCTTCCTAATTCTTACTCAAAACGCGATCAGACATAAACGTTAGGGGGACGCACAAACAATGCAGTGGCTCCACTTGCTGCAAATACGAGACCACATAGACACATACTCATGCACAGCGAGATCGGTTCCTTGAATCTCTCGCTCACTAAAGCCACCCTTCCCCCACCCCAGCTCATTCTCATGCTCTCATACGTGCACCTTGCTTAATTAAAGACTGGGCTTCTGAAGCTGTTCTGACCTTATATCAACTGTCATTTATAGATACATGTAAATAGATGGGGATATTAGGCACAAAATGGAGCGGCAGTTTCATTCACACTGTGTGGCATGTATGACAGCGTTCAGACACACTGCTGCTGATTCTCTCTTTTTCCGACAACACATTCCTTATGCTGTGATGCTTTGGAGAAAAACGGCTCACAAAACAACAATGGCAATAAATAAGAATGAGGCTGGTTTTGATTTCATCATCTTTTCCTCCACTGTGAGTCTACGAGCTTCAAACCTACCATTACTGGATGTCTGAGAAATCCATTTCTTACATGTAATTCCTCACAAAGTCCGTCTGTAATGTTGAAGAAACCGGTTTGAGAGATAACTCAAAAAAACAGCAAGCTGCCATTCAATGCTGCTGCTTCAGCGACTGGAAATGCACCATTTTGGCCTATGGTAGCTGCATCAGCGTAAGTCTTTGACGACATACACTAGGTGTGTTAAATCTATAAGCATTAGTCATCTGCATCAAATCCAAACATGAGGATCATCTCCATGTGTGTGCAGTGGAACTGGATCAGTCCTGTTCGCTTCTCCAGTAGAAGAACCACATTCAACAACATGAGAAAGGAGGGCTTGGGGTGAATACTAAATATGAATTCTCCTCCATAAAGCAGCAGCCTCAGCTGAAACATGATCGTCTCTTTACTACAGCAGCAGCCCATCTGATCCCAGTCTCTCATGCCAGGCCCCACAGCCCTGAGCTTATCTAACAGAGTGAGGAAGATGAGTTACCTGGTCGTACCACTCCCGGTTGGTACAGGTGCATTCAGGCCACCATCCTGCTTGTCCACTGGAGTTGCTGCCGTTTACTTTGGGGCCTCCCTTGGATTGGCCCTTTGGGTTAGGGCCTCCCGGGCCCCCACTGGACATAATCTTGCCCTTACTTCTCCCCAAAGTTCCCCCTCCTCCTCCCATGCTTCCACCTCCCCCTGAAGCTGGGGGAGGTAAGGTCTGGCCTCCCCCATACCCAGGCGGGTATCCATAGGGCTCGGCCTGCCAGTCTCCTCCATATGCCGGGGCGTCCATCCTACGCAGGGCAGCCATACGGGTCACCTCATAACATTCTGGGCACTTACAGCAGTGGTGGTGTTTGTGCATGCTGGCTGGGCTGATGCTGAGCTGAGCGGCGTGGCACTGTCGCTGCTGCCTCCTCAGATCTCACACAGCACGCTGTGATCGGCTCACAGAGCGCTAATGCCAACGGAAATAACACTAATCACAGGAATTTCTACAGATTTTCCCTTTTTTGTCAAATCCAGTCACTCTCCGCTTTATTCCTCTTGCATGTAGAAAAAAAGATCAGGAGGAATGGAAAGCAGCAACGGAAAAACAAAATACAAAATGGGCACGTAGTCTTTGTCCTCTTGACGTAGAAGATCAAACGAAATATTCAAAATATTGTATACGACCACACAATCAGAGACCAGCCCCAATGATAGAAATTTCCTCTTGCTTCTCTTGGTTCACAGTGATACGCATATAAATTCATGTATATATATATATAGATATATATACACACACATATATATGTATATATATGTATATATTCTGTTGCTTATATATCATATATATTTACACACACAAATACATATAAAAATATTAATATAAACAAACGAGCACAAATACAGATATGTACAGAGATAAAGGTATATATATAAATATCTATATGTGTGTGTACAAATATATATATATAGATATATAAACAATATATATATAAATAAATGATATCCGCTGAAGAAAATCTTCCTCTCTTGATTCTTGGTATCTTCCCGTCAAAATATCACGTTTTTCCTCCTGCGTTGAAAATCGCTGTGGTTCTCCCTCTGTCTCTTTTCTCAGCCTGCAGAGAGGAGCTGAGCTCTGGATCGCCCCTCAGCCAGCTTGCCCTAGATGTGGATTATTCAGAGGGATGCGAGCGAGCAAGAGGGAGATGGAGAGCGAGCGAGTGCGGGGGAGAGAGAGAGAGAGAGCGGCAGGGAGGGAGGGAGGGACAGGGGATATGTAGCAGCATCCCTCTAGCACCTCAGTCCTGACAGCCACAGCCAATCAACTGGCAGCGCTGCCATCAGCAGCAGCAGCACCAACAGGACTGAGCGCTTCACTGGCTTCTCTTAAAGGGGCCGCAGCACCTAAGCCTCACTGCTGCCTGCCTTGGGTGAAAATACTGCCTCACTCATAAAGCCGCAATAAAAACATTGAATATGTCTGTTTTTTCATTTTTGTCAAAAAAAACAAAAGAAAGGGTCATTGTCCACAGTCAACACCAAACCTTGACCCCGATCCAATGAGTCTAATCCATGTTTTCCACCAAACAGGTCACCAGCCAAACTCCAGCTGTCAGTGAGCACCCCTGTGCATCGACTGGTCACTGGTCACCTCAAAAGTCATCTCTAGTTCAGCTGCAGACTTAACAGCTCACTTGTGCTAGTGACTGGCAACCCCCCCCCCCCGGCTCTGTGTCACAGCACACATCTGTAAATAATCTCACAATGGAGGCAAGGGCAGCACATGAACATCCTTCTCTCCTGGGTATCAACACAGGGTGCGTTTGAATCACGCTGCATTACTTTACATCACTCCCCACCCCTCTTCCTTTCCTCCACTTGCAAAGTAGCACTACGCTGCTGAATTATGTTGTTGTCAAGTTTGGGTCAAAATAAGCTCAGTGGGAGAATACTGAAGCGCTGAAGCCTTGTTTAAGAACCACAGGGGAAATATTTTATGTTCACAATGATGACATCAACACGTGTACGAAACCAACAAGATTACACGCTTGGGCTTTCGAGTGGGTGGAGGAAGAGATTGAGAGTGAGAATGTGTGGGGGGGGGGGACAGAAGAAGAGACTACATGGCTTTCATGTATCTGTGGCAGTTTGTATTTTCAGTCATGCGACGGGACTGCCTGTGAACCATTTAGCATGTTTATGAATTTGCAGACTGAGATAAAAACATCCTGACACTGACTGCGAAGGTTGTTCTGTTATAAAGGAATCTTATAGTGTCACCATTAAGGACCTGCATATATGCATTATTAATGAAATGTGACGGGGAGCAGAGCTGGGTGTGTCTGCATGGGGGAGAGATTTGCACATAGTCTACACGTGACAGGGCTCATACATGAATAATAATGCTGTTACAGTGATTTGATTTACATATAAGACATATAGCCTTTAATTAAAAACATCAATGTGCAAACGTCCTGTTAAAAGGAGCAGGATTTTGGGGCGAGGGAACACTGCTCTGTGTTGCAGGCCTACCAAGAGGCACACACAGCAGGCTCAGCCACACTTAATTACATGCAACAGTAACTTACTCCATTATAACAGAATTCTTTCACTCTAACCTATAGAGAATTGCCAAAGCTGCAAGCACAAAAAAAAAAAAAAAGCAGAAACTTGATCATTTTCAAACAGAGACTATAGAAAAACCACTGAATGCCTCAAGTTACATTGTAGGATGCAGCCACGAACCCAGCTGAAGCCAATCAGAGGGAAGGGGTGGGGCTTGGAGGCAGCGGCTTGAAAGGACGATGTAAGCATATTGATCACAGCACACATGACTGAGCACATGTTGCAACCATCCTTCCCCGAGCCTCGCTCCGTCTCTCTTACAAACTGTCCACATCGCATTTATAACACAGTGCAGTCAGGAGGCTCGCAGCTAAAAAAAAACCTAAACACATACTAGATAGCGGCAGAGAAAAAAGAGGGAATGACGAGCAGCATATGATGAAGGCAGCAGAGGTGGACAAAGAGGTATCACCTGAATGAATGAACACACATGTCATCTGTATGTGCGGTTGAGCATGCACGTACAAACACATCTGCATATGAACTGTGTATGTGGGCATGTTTAGAACATCTAGGAGAAAAGAAACCTCTCCCTTTGAATATTACATAATCTAATATATATCTAAATATTGGAATATTCTTTTTGAGCCAATCGATTGCTAGTTTTCTGTATCAGAGGGATTGCAGGAAGAGGAATACAGGAAGTTAATATGCAACAATGAATTCACAGCTGAGATATAACAGCAGTGCTGGTATACATGGCAGTAAAATGTAATATATAACTTCAAATTGTGAATTTTGGACATCAGGTTTGTTTCTTTTTGTGAAGAAATGCAATGCTTCTCATTTAAGAGTTAACATTTCAGTTAGAGCAAGCTAATACTTGGGGGGTATAAAACCTATATTAGTACTTCAAAATCTCTGCATATACACAGTTTCTGTGAAGATTATGTATAATTTTAGTTGAGGCTGTGTAGTTTTGGTGGGACTCAATTAGACAATCATTTCCGAGGGTGTCACTGGCAATGTCCTTGTATTGGATCATGTTTGATGTCGATTTAATCTGCAGTTTATAACACAATAAAACTGTCACCGACATAAGATTATTTTACCATGGGTGATGCAGTGCCAAGCAGAAGAAGCAATATTCTGTTACTGGCTTTTGTTTAGTGGCTACACATTAATACCAGAGACAAAAAATGATCTTACCTCCACGCCAGAACATAAAACCTGCACTAAGATGCTCCACTCTCGGTGAAAATTGAAAAACCCTTTTCGTCATTAATACTGAAACAACTTATTGTCACAAAGAGTGAAACAACACTGTGCAGCAGGGTATGTTGAAGTGTTAGCTTGTAATTACACTCTGACACTGACCAAATTTAATAGCTGCTCCTATCCTGCAGAAAAATACAATAACAGCAAATTGGTTTCAACCCGAAAGAATAGCCTTGTCGTAAAAAACATACGTCCATGCACACACATATATGTATACACACACACACACACTAACACACACACACATATATACATATATATATTGTGTATGCATGCGTGAGAGTTGGCTATATGTGTGTGCAATCATTGATAAATACTGTGTCCAATTAAACAGCTTGGACTGGAGAGATCAACAGCATGAGGTGATTTATCTTGTGAAATGAAAGCAGTGACCTCTGACCCTCAGTTGACAAATGAAAAAGAAGGGCCTGTGATTTATGGCGAACTTATCCTTTTGTACAGAGATGCTTCTACGCGTCCCACCTCACAGAACCCCCGCCCCCCTCTCAAACAATATCAGCTCGGCATCAGCCTGCACAACCCTTATTACATAAACCCACCTGGACCCTCTGCACAGGCCGTGTATTGAGCTTTTCAGTCATTTCGAGGCACTTCTCAGAGAAGCTGTGTGACTATGCTCCTTCGTCACCTGACCGGATGCGGCGCCATAAAAGGACAGTCGGCAGTGAGGCAGCCTTAAAGAGGCAGCTCCGTTTATCAACACGTACTAAGCTGTTCTTACTGTAGCCTTAACTAACTGTAAGAGGGGGTGAGGAAGCAAGTCTTATAAGTCTCTCTCAGGCATCATTACATCATGACAGAACAATCCTTCCCTCTACAAATATCAGATATTGAAATTGATAAAATGCAGAGAATCAACACATAATACTGCTACTGCTCAATGAATCAGAGCTTTGTGACGTGTGCAGGAGAAGTGCAATGTGCATAAGAGATACTCATCAGTTTTATACTGAAAGACAGAGTAACCTGCCGGAGAGCAACAACAAATGTCTCCCAGAGGTGCAAACACAGAAAACAAAGGCTACATGGCTATGACTCCCAATAAGAGGCCTCGGAGCTGCTCCATCACACACACATCACACAGAGCACCTCCGACTGACGGAAAAACAAGAGAGGAGCATACACAGGGAGGAAAATGAAAGAGGCAATAGAGGGAAATGAGGGAGATGGGGAAAAGAGGAGAGTGGGAGATTGTATCAGAGCTGCATGGGTACGGAACAGACATTTCACATCGATTTTGTGAGTACATGAGAAGAGAGGAGCGGATAGAAAGAGAGCTGAGAAAAGGGTAGCAAGTAGGAGGTTAGGAGATGAGCTGCAAACCGAACAGGAAGGTGAAAGCAATTGATAAAGTACGATGAAGATGTAAGGTGTACGTCCACGATAAGACGCCATAGCTGCGGAGAAACGAAGCTGAGGTGCCCTGTGTGTGGGCAGAAATGTGATGACTAGAGGGGGCATTATTGAAGCATGGTGCTGAACAGAAGGGGGAGTAAAAATAGAGATAAGAAAATAGAGAGATGCGGAGAAAACAACAAAGTGTTTATGTGTCCATGAATGCACGGGAATGAAAAAAAAGAACTGTGTATGTGTGTGTGTAATTATCCATTCACCTTGCCACAGAGAGCAATGCATGTGAAATCACTGTGTGCTTGCTGAGTGTGCATCATCACAAATGTGCTCAATGTGTGTGCGGTGTAAAAAAAAAAAAAAACGTAGCAGGGAGAAAGAGCGAGAGCGAAGGAAAAGGAAAAAAAAACAAAGATGCGAATTAGAAGAGGAATGAAAAAGACAGGATGAAAAACAGAAAAG